AAGTGCCAGGCCAGTCATTCTGGTCTTGCTGGCATCTTTTGGCCAGAAAAGGTTTGCAACTCACGCAGGGATGCACGCCATGTGATCACAAGGTTGGTGTTCATCCAAACATTGATGTGATCGTAAATGTGGTTGTCGATGTGGTTGTGGTTGTGGATGTGGATGTGGATATGGTTGTGGTTCCTGATGTGCACGTAGTTGTGGAAGTGGTTGTGAATGTGGATATGATTGTGGTTCCTGATGTAGATATTGTTTTGGAAATGGTTGTGGATGTTTTTGTGGGTGTGGTTGCGGAGGCGGAAGTGGATATGGTTGTAGTTCCTCATGTGGATGTTGTTGTGGAAGTGGCTGTGGATGTTCTTGTGGATATGATTGTGCAAGTGGTTGTGGATATGGTTGTGGATAGGAATATGATTGTGGTTCCTGATGTGGGTGTTGTTGTGGATGTGGATATGGTTGTGGAAGTGGTTGTGGATGTGGATGTGGATTTTATTGTGATTCCTGATGTGGATGTTGTTGTGGAATTGGCTGTGTATGTGGGTGCTGATGCTGATGCTGATGGCGCTTTCAACGTTAATTTTGATGGTATGAAGACCAAAATGGTGTGGCCTTTTGTGTGGTCGCAGTCTCCTTTCGTTGTTTTAAGAAGTTGTATGACCTTGTTTTCTCAACATGGTCATGTTGGTAGGAAAACTTAGAGGAACGCACACAGTCCGGAGTCCATTGTATGCATCATCATTCCCAAAGTTGAACCGTCGTCATGGTACACATTGATGTTGATGTTACCTCCGGCATTAATGGTAGATTACGAAATTTCAATCTCGGCGTTCTCCTTCCCCTTCTCTCAGCCCATTAGTCGGTCAGGCCTACTCTTTTCCAGCCAGCCTCTCTCTCTCTCTTTTTCTCTCTTTCTCTCTTTCTTTTCTTCTTTCTTTTCTATCCTTCTCTATTAAGACAAATCTTGGGGCCCGACTTTTCGGGGCTTGGTCCTTACTACCCTTCGAAGCCAGCCTCACCTGCGAATACGCCTCTCGGTTGTAGTTGATGCCTCGACTAGACATTCGAGATATTTGATAAAGCACAATTGTCTTCGGCCAGTTCCTCTTCGTCTTTGCCCGATCAGCTCTTTGTCTCCAGCCCACACGGTCATGTCTCTCTATGCCTTACCTCGATTCGGCCTTGACACTCGTCCACACACGCACACACACACATTCACATGCACAGGAGTGGGGCGGAGCTATGAATTCTACAACCTTCGTACGGAAACGTCAGACATCCGACCCGATCGCCGGTGGCAGCGGGTCCAGGAGTGACGTGCAGTCTGGAGAGGCAGTGGTCTTGCAAAACCGCACCTTTACAAACTGTTTTGTGGGAAAGGGATTTCGCGGCCCTGTCTGTCTCCATCACCCCATCGCCTGCAGCACCACATTTAATCATCAATTCATACTCTTCTAATTGCCCAATTTGTGGCAGTTTCGCGTCCACATTCGACCGAAGCCTCAGCCGGCACCGATACCTCCGCCTGCGGGTCGTTTGGTCTGTTGCCGTGTCACTCAGCCGTTCGAGCAGTCAATCATCGCGTAAACAATCCGGCCAACACTTGCTTCTTTCTCTCCATCTTTCTCTCTACATTCTCCACTCCTCCCTTGCGCTGCCCACTTTTGCCCACCTCGACCCGACATCGTAAAGCCCAGCAGCGAAATTCTCGCCAGTTTTATTATCTTCCAAGCTTTCGCTCAACTGAACCGTCTCTGCTGAGCCGAATCTCCTGTACATTTTGTTGTCTCGTTGGTCTCTCTCTCTCTCTTTCACACACACACACACACACACACACACATACACACATACACAAACACACTCTTTCTCTCTCTCCGGTTTGGGATGCCACCATTTCCGGCCTTTTTGGTCGGTCTGCAGGTCTGCTGGCAGTGACCGGCCGGCTTGTCGATGCGGCGATGGTGTACACACTCGCCTCGAGGGCGTCATGGCAGCCGATCCGGACGCTTTCGCTCTGACACGGTTCATGCACGTTCTTGAATTAGCTGTTGTCATAGCTGCTCTGTTGTCATGTTTATTTCGGCATTAATGGTGGATTACGACATTTCAATCTCGGCGCTCTCCTTCCCCTTTTCTCAACCCATTAGTCTGTCAGGCCTAATCTTTTCCAGCCAACCTCTCTCTCTCTCTC